AGCCGTGTCGTTGCTCAGCAGCCTGCCATGTTCTGCCAACCCTGGGACTTACAATGGACTTAAGTTAACGGCCTGCCGTGTGATTTGGTAGCATCGGGACTGTGCCTTTTGACTTGTCAACTGTGGGGCTTGTCAGCCTCAGCAGCCAGCAGCTGTCTGAGTGAAGAAACGCCTCTAGCTCCAGTGGCCTAGGAGCAGGAGGCACAGCTGGCCCCCAAGGTTGAGGGGCTTTCACCCAGGCCCTAGAGCCTGGCTCTTTGAACTCGGACTTAAAGCCTCCAAATTGTAAGAATAAACTCCTGTTTGTTAAGGCCATCCCATTGGTGGCATATTCCTGTCAGAGCGGCACCAGGGACCGGAACAAGCACCGTCAAGCTCTGAGAGGGTGAGCAAGTCACCCACGAGGGCGCCGCTAGTGAGTGGCAGAGCTGGGACTCAGTGTTGGTCCACCTTTCCAGAAGGGAGACTGCGTGTGGACTCCTGGCTCCAAGATTTCCCTTCTATGAGCTCTCGGGCCATTACAGGGCAAGAGGCTCAGATTCTCTGAGCTCAGATTCCCCGTCTCTCAACCAGGAGCCATCCCCCACTCCCACCCAGGCTTCATTCAGCGCAGAATCTTCAGGACCAAGTCAGACTGGGTCGCTGTCCAGCTTACAATCCCCTAGCGGCCCATCGCAGCCAGAATAAACTCCTACCTCTGGAACTGTGCAGGGAGGAGACACGTGGGGACCCTGGACATCTGGACAGTGTTTTCTATGCAGAGAAAATATACTGGGGGGGTGGAGGGGTTAGGACTCGCAACACAGATTTTTGGGGACACGATTCACTCTTTAACGGTACCTCACCTAAGACAGTGCAGCTGCTGAGTGGCAGAGCTGGGATTTGAACCAGGGGTTTTCAAACAGGGTCACATTCAGGTGCAAGAGTTAGGGGGACCACCTAGAAGTTTTGGGGCTGCAGCCTGCAGGACAAGGGCCGGAGAAGAGCGGGAAAGGAAGTTACATCGGGAGGGCCTTGAAGGCTGAGGGAAGGAGTTAGGATCTTTTTTTTTTTTTTTTTTTAAATACATTTTATTTTTCAGAGAAGTTTTAGGTTTTAGAAAATAATTGTGCAGGAAGTCCAGAGTTCCCACATCCCTCCTCCCTGCAATTGCAGGGTTAGGATTTTATTCTGGCTGCGATAGGAAGAAAGTGCCAAAGGATTTTCAGGCAGACAACGGCCCAGTCTGACTTATGATCCTGAAATTCCACATGGAATGATGACTGTACTCGGGGGGTGGGGGGAGAAGTGTCTCCCGTTTAGAGACGGGCTGCACTCTGGTGGCAAAGTGCCTAATGCATTTGACTGCTAACCAGAAGGCTGGTAGTTCAAACCCACTATCTGCTCTGCAGAAGGAAGACTGCGCAATCTACTTTCAGAAAGATTTACTGCCTTGGAAACCCAGTGGAGGTCACTATGGGTCGGAATCAAATTGATGGCAGTGTGTTTGGTTTT